CTCTTCTCTTCATCAAGCAAGATTGTATCACTTGCATATCGCAGGTTGTTAATGAATCTTCCTCCAATCCTGATGCCACATTTTTCTTCATATAATCCAGCTTCTCAGAGTATGTACTCAACATACAGATTGAATAAATAGCTCTTTTACCTCCTCATTTCTTCCATTTGCTGTAGCTATCTATGCTGGAGAGCAAGTTTCAGAGTCTGTTCTGACATCCATCTTGGTCTTTGCCTTCTTTCTTGTCTTCTTCATGAACTTTTGCTTTATTCATGTACGACGTTCTTGATGTTCTGGTCTTCAGTCTTTAGTGTCTACTGATCTCTAAATTTAGATGATCTCTAAATTCAGATGGGATATGTCCAATGCAACACCATTCTTGAATTTGTTGCTCCTGGCATAGTAAACCATATGACTGTCTGAATCAAAATGGCCACTGACAGCCCATTTCAGCTCACTAATGGGTATGAAGAAAGCCAAGGTACTGAAGGAGGAAGTCCAAGCTGCACTGAAGGAATTGGCAAAGAACAAGGCTCCAGGAACTGATGAAATGCAAATAAAAATCTGTTAACAAACGGATGCACTGGAGGCACTCACTCAATTGTACCAAGAAATCTAGATAACAGCTCCCTGGCCAGCTGATTGGAAGAGACCAATATTTGTGCCCATCCCAAAGAGAAGTGACTCTACAGAATGCGGAAATCACTGGACAATATCATCGATATCACATGCAAATAAAATTTTGTTAAAGATCGTTCAAAAGTGGTTGCAACAGTACGTTGACAGGGAACTGCCAGAGTTTTAAGCAGAATTCTGACAAGAACGTAGAACATTGTTGACGTCAGATGGATATCAGCTGAAAGCAAAGAATACCAGAAAGATGTTTGTCTGCGCTCTATAGACTACGCAACGGCTTTTGAGTATGTGGACCATGACAAGCTATGGAGAATAAACATTTCAGAACACTTAATTGTGCTCATGAGGAACCTGTACCTAGAGCAAGAGGCTCTCATTCGAACAGAAGTAGGGAACACTGAATAGTTTAAAATGAGGAAAGCTGTGTAGCAGAGTTGTATTCTTTCACTATACTTATTCAAACTGTATATTGTGCAAATAATCCATGTACCTGAATTATATGAAGGCGGTATCAGGATTGGAAGAAGACTCATTAACAACCTGTGATATGTAGATGATATAACCCTGTTTGCTGAAAACGAAGAGCCCTTAAAATACTTACTGATGGGTTACAACTCATTGCAAAGAAAACAAAAATCCTCACCACTGGACCAATAAATAACATCGTGATAAATGGAGAAAAGATTGAAGTTGTCAGACTTCATTTTACTTAGATCCGCCATCAACACTCATGAAAGCAGCAGTCAAGAAATCAAACAACATATTGCATGGGGCAACTCTGCGGCACAAGACCTCTTTCATGTGTGCAACAGCAAAGATGTCAGTTTGAGGACTAAAGTGCACCTGACTCAAACAATGGTATTTTCAAAAGTCTCATATGCATGTGAAATAAGGAAGAGCATAGAAGACTTGATGCATTTGAGTTACGGTGTTGGAGGAAAATGTTAAAAGTACCGTGGACTGCCAGAAGAACAAACCAATCTGTACTGGAGGAAGCCAAGATGGCGAGATTTCATGTCTCATACTTTGGTATGAAGGTTAGAAGGACATCATGATAGGTAAAGTGGAGGGAGTGAAAAAGAGGAAGACCCTCGATGAGATGGATTGGCCCAGTGGCCGCAGCAATGGGATCGAGAGTAACAACCATTGTGAAGCTGGCACAGGACCAGGCAGTGTTTCTTTCTATCGCGCATCAGGTCACCGTGAGTCGGAAGCACCCTGTTGACACCACTTAGGACATCAACCTTTATGCATTCCATTTCATTGTTGACAACTTCCAATTTTCCTAGATTCAAACCTTACAAATAACAGTGGATTTTCAATAACCTGATATGCATGTGAAAGCTGGACAGTGAATAAGGAAGACCATAGAAGAATTGATGCTTTTGAGTTATGGTGTTGGAGAAGAATATTGAAAGTGCCATGGACTGCCAAAAGAACCAATAGATCCGTTTTGGAAGAAGTGCAGCCAGAGTGCTCTTGGAGACCAGGATGGCCAAATTTCATTTCTCATACTTCGGACATATTTGTCAGGAGGGACCAGTTTCTGGAGAAGGATATCATGTTTGGTAAGGTGGAGGGTCAGAGAAAAAGAGAAAGACCCTCAACGAGATGGATTGGCCAAGTGGCAGCATCAATGGACTCAAGCATGGCAACAGTGGTGAGGTTGGCCCAGGATCGGGCGGTGTTTCATTCTGTTGTGCATAAGGTCGCTATGGGTCAGTACTGATTCAATGGCACCTAACAACAACAACAACAACTGTCAGATAGCACCAAAATATTGACTGTTGAATCATGATGAGCACCACAATTGTGTCAGAGATAGTACAAGATGATGAGCCCCCCAGGTTGGAAGGCACTCAAAATACGACTGGAGAAGAGCTGCCTCCTCAAAGCAGAGTTGACCGAGATGATGTGAGTGGAGTAAAGCCTCAGGGACCTTCATTTGCTGATGAGGCACAACTCACAGAAGAGAAACAGCTGTAAACATCCATTTATAATCGGATCATGAAATGTACAACATATGAATCTAGAAAAATTGGAAATTGTCAAAAATGAAATGGAATGCATAAACATCGATATCCTAGGTATCAGTGAGCTGAACTGGACTTGGCCATTTGACTCTGACAATCACATGGTTAACTATCTCAGGAATGACAAATTGAAGAGGAATGGCATCATATTCATCATCAGAAAGAACACATCAAGATCTGTCTTGAAGCACAACACTGTCTGTGATAGGATGATATCCAGATAATTTCCTACAAGGAAAACCAGTTAATACCACTGTTATTCAAATATACACACCAACCACTAAAGCCAATGATGATGAAATTGAAGAATTCTGTCAACATTTTCATCTGAAACTGATCGAACATGCAGTCAAGATGGATAGTCAATTGCTGCTGACTGGAATGCAAACGTTAGAAACAAAAAGGATCAGTAGTCGGAAAACATGATCTTGGTGATAGAAATGATGCTGGAGATCGCATGACAGGATTTTACAAGATCAGTGACTTCTTCATTGCAAATACCCTTTTTAAACAATATAAAAGACGACTGGACACATGGACCTCACCAGATGGAATATACAGAAATCAAACTGACTACATCTGTGGAAAGAGACAGTGGAAAAGCTCTGTATCATCAACCAAAACAAGGCCAGGGGCAGACTGTGGAACAGACCATCAATTGCTCATATACAAATTCAGGCTGAAGCTGAAGAAAATGAAAACAAGTCCACAAGAGCCAAAATATGAACTTGAATACATCCCACTTGAATTTAGAGACCATTTCAAGAATAGATTTGATACATTAGATACTAATGACTATAGACCAGAGACTTTGTAGGCTTACATCAAGAATATCATACAGGAAAAAAGCAGAAGGCCAGGAAAGAAAGAAAAGACCAAACTGGACATCAGAAGAGACTCTGAAACTTGCTCTTGAATATAGAGAAGTGAAAATGAATGGAAAAAATGAGCGAGAAAAAGAGCTGAACAAGAAATTTCAAAGGCCCGTTCAAGAAAACGAAGTATAATGAAATGTGCAAAGACTTGGAGTTAGAAACCCAAAAAGGAAAAACACACTCAGTAGTTCTCAAGCTAAAAGAACTGAGGGAGAAATTCAAGCCTCGACTTGCAATACTGAAGGATTGTATGGGCAAAATACAGAATGCCAACCCTTTGAGGGACCATGGCCAGTGGTGGAGAGGGGCTGCCCTACATCCTGGCCACTTTTGCTTGTTCCTCCCCATGCCCAGGGGCTGCCCCTAGAGTGACGCCTGCTCTAGGGCCATGATGCCCCCAGCTCTCCTGAGTGAGCTGCAGGCTGTGTTCCTGGGAGCCAGACCTCCACAATGAAGAGTGTGTGAACCTGTGTCTGCTGGCACCCAGAGCAGTCACCATCAACAGCTCCTTCACCAGGACGCCCAGAATCACCATCTTGTACCCTTAACTGGGGTCTCCCCATTGCTCAAAAGCCTCACTGTCTCTCTCCTCCCAAGTAAGTCACTGCTGGATGCCACACACAGGGGACCCTCTCACCAGGTGGGGACCCAAGGGTCCAGGCAAATCTCCCCTGCTTCTCAGAGGGGTTCCCTGGGACTCAGCACTTCCTGGGTGGGGGGGACTGTATGGTGGTCTCTGTAGACCAGGTGTGGGGCCCCGCTGGCTCAAACCTCCCAGGTCCCACCCTGAGTGTGAGCCTGAATGGTACAGGGTGATGTAATCGCCCGAGGTCTGTGGTCTCTGGCTCCTCCCCTCAAGGTGGCCCCTCACCTGTCTGACGGTGGCTCGGAAGGCTCCCAGGATGGCTGCAGCTCCACCGCAGTCCCGCTTCATCCCAGGCATGGTGGTCTGGAGGTGAGAAGAGGAAGTCAGTGCGCAATGTGGAGACTGGCCCACAGACACCCACCCTCCCTGTGGGGTCCTCGCCAGGTCACCCACAGAATTCAGGGTCCCTCCTAGGCACTGGGGCCTCCTGTCTCCACCCCACGACGAGGCCAACCCACCTTCTTACAGGACGATCCATGTGCCGCTCGCCTGCCACACACTCCCTCCAGTCACCCTGATGACTCCCCAAGCAGCACCGGCCCCCCCTCTCCCCCTGCCCTTCCCAGGGGCCTGTCCCATCTCCTGGTTATGGTTTTCCAGCACCCCACCCCAACAAGGAAGAATGCTCTTTCTAAAAGCCGGTGGGGTGGTTACCCATGTTTACATTTTATAGCTCCTGAACTCTTAATGTTTTCAATGAGCAGCAGCTCAGCTGGAGTGAGGATTTGGGTTTGGAATTTACTGAGGGATTTTTGGACTCTTGAAATCTCACAGGACCCTCTAGTCTTAGTGGGACGTATTTTTAGATGTAAACTGAGCTGTTTTTACAACGAAGCCTCGAGTGAACATTCTTCACCGAGCACTATTGGAAATAAGCCGCCCTCTCCAGACTCAATCTACGAGAAAGCACAACACTGTCTAAATGGAAAAACGAGGCCCCAGAATTGGACTGAAACCACTGGCAACATGCACTGCATGGAAAATGCTCCAGTCAGCAGTTCCTGACTGTGTCCCTGCCTTCACATTGTTCCAGTCATGGTCTCCAGTCCCAGGTGGAACAAGTGTCAAACTCTTGTGGAGAGTTTTGCTAACTCCTCATACATCGTTTCTGTTCCTTACAAAAGAACTGTGCTCTTAGTCTACAAAGACAATGTTCTACATCCTAACTTTCGTGAGTGCTCATCTTAGAAGCAACCAGGGGCCGCTCCCTGTACAGAGGAAAGAAGAGAGATGAAAACTGAAGAGACTTGGAATCAATGAGTCCAACGGACTCATGGGACACCTGAACCTCAGTCTCCACAACCCTGAGACCAGAAGACCTAGATGGTGCCCAGCTACCACTAACAATGACTCTGAAAGGGATCACATTAGAAGGTCCTGGAAAGAGTGGGCGAAAATGTAGAACAAAACTCAAAATTATACATAAGGCCAGGCTTACTGGCCAGAAATAGACCAGAGGAACCCAAGACTATGGCTCTCAGTTGGTCTTCAAATCTGGAATAGAATTCATCCTGGTGACTCAATTTTCAGCCCAGCAGGAAGCATAACAACACCATGTCCATGGAATGGTCAACCATTCAAGATCCAAAGGGCAGCATCTACGTAAGGACAGAGCTCAGAGATGCTGGGAACGGAGACGGAATGGAAACAAGAATCACAGGAAGAAAGTGGGATAAATGGCGTTGCATGGAGGGGGCTGCAGTCATGGAAATGATTTGTTGAATGTAAAACAAGATCTTCTCTGTAAACCTTCTCTCAATTCATAATAAAAAGGGAACACAGAAGATGCTATACTCGTAGCAACTGCTGTTGTCAGTTGATGCTGAGTTGGTGCCGACTCAGTGGCTCAGTCCTGCATCCTCACAACAGCTTCTCTGCCTGAGTCCAGTGTTGTGCTTGCTGGGTGTTTCTGAATGCCTTCTGACCTAGGGGGCTCAGCTCCCAGCACTCTACCGCACAATATTCTGCTGTGACCCATACAGTCTTCATCGGGTCATTATCAAAGTCGATCTTCTCCCTGGTCTGTCTTCGTCTGGAAACTATGCTGAAACCTGTCCATCACGGGTGACCCTGCTGACAGATGAAGAACTAATGGCGTAGCTTCCGGCATCCCAGCTATGAACAAGTCACCACAGTTCGGCACACTGACAGGAATGGGGCTGTTGGGTACCAGCAGGTCAATTCTGACTCGTAGCCACCCTACAGAGAGTTGAACTGCCCTATATTGTATTCTAGGCTGTATTCTAGGCTGTAATTTCTACAGAAATACATGGATCACTAGGGCTTTCTCCCATGAAGCTGCTGGTAAGTTCAAACCGTTGACCTTTCAGTTCGTAGCCAAGTGCTTTAAGCATGGCACCACCAGGGTTGTCACCAGTGCCACCTGCCTTCTCACTGGGCTGACACATGCACTGATCACGCAGAAGCGGCTAGGCGGCTAGGCGACGTTAGCTAGTCACGTGTACACTGCGCCTCAGTAGAATATGACGCCAACCTGAGACTTTCCCCTTTGAAGCAGTAAAATTGTTCACTGGAACAAACAACAACCCATGTGTGTAAGGGTCCACAACACCCTGTGTGAGGGAAGGTTGAGGAGTCACACAATACTTCTACTCACTTCTCAACGGGGATGGTCGTTGAGGGAAGGAACGGGCACAATTGCTGGAGTTAGGCACTAAACTAGCCACTCTCCTTCACGTGGTTGTTGCTGGATGCCCTCAGTCACTCTTACTCATAGTGACCCCATGAACACCAGGACAAAACACTGTCCCGGCCTGCACTATCCTCACGATTGTTCCTACGTTTGAGTATCCCCCCTTTATGCTCGGTAGAACAGCTGACAGGCATACGGTGGGTGATTAGACATATTTGGTTGACATTTTCTCAGAGATGAACAAGATGGGCCAGTTTGTTACCCAGGAAAACAGCTGACCTGCTTTGTTACCAATGATCAGGTTTACACTTTCCAGCAAAAATGAGAGTTTTGGAAGGGCTGCATCTGTAATCACGACAGCTTCCTAATCCTCAGTGGTTTTTCTGGTGAGAAAAACCATGATACTAACTTTCTGGCATCATGTAATACACTGTGTCGTTGTCTGGAAGCTCTGTGAAGTGCTGAGAGCCAACATTTTCCAAATGACCCTTACCGGATGTCACATAGCCACACATTCAGAGTACAAAGCAGATGAATGGATCTTAATGCAACTGACGCAAAAGCTCACTGACATGGGTTCAGATTCCACGTTGTAACTCACCATAAGAAACTACCACTTGTCGAGTTTTGGTGTCATATTAAAGAATAATTCCACGGTTATCTGAAAAGGTTGCTAAAATACTTCTCCCTTTGCAAACTACATATATGTATGGGCCTAACGTTCCTTGATATCGCTCAACCAAAACAACGCACCAGACCAAGCACAGACTCAGAAGGTGAGAACCCCACTGTCTTCCATGAACCCAGAAACTAAAGAAATCTGAAAAATGTACAGCGATGCCCTTCTCCTCATGAAAGTTTTGTTTGGGATAACATGGTTCTTTTTCATAAAATGGTATTATTTATGTCGCCGTGTAAGGGATATTAGTAACCGGCATAGTGGTTACAAATCGGGCTGCTAACCTCAGGGTCAGCAGTTCGAAACTACCAGCTGTTCTGTGGGAGAAAGATGAGGATTTCTGCTCCTGTAAAGATTTACAGTCTCAGAAACCCTGTACAGGGTCGCTATGAGTCGGAACCAACTCCACGGCACACAACAACAACTATGCTGTTGGCTCTGACAGATTTATTTAAGAATCACTTCCTGTTTGGGATCGTCCAGGTTTGCTCCTGGTGTGGTTAGCATCCCCAACGCCCATGGAACCTCACTCCCCGAGTTTCAGCAGTAGATAGTGAAGAAACAAGAGCAAGATGACTGTAAAACAAACACGCAGCACTCCAACCCTATCATCCTCTACGACCACTTGAAGTTGTTGTATTTCTTTTGTTGTTGTTGTTTTTTAATTCCAAAAATATTTGGAACCTTCTGGAATTAACTGCAAAGAATTGATGACATGGATGGTGTTGCAATTTCTGGGGTTTACTGTGAAATGGAGTTTTTATGAATCTCTGCCAAATGGTCCTTGTGTGAAAGACCTCTCCTAACTGTGTTTCTGTTGCTACATATGAAAGTAACTCTTTAAAATCAAAATGAATTCCTTTTTCTCTAAGGAGCTCTGGTAGCACAGTGGTTAAGCACTCAGCAACAAACCCAAAGTTGGTAGTTTGAACCCACCAGCTGTCCTGAGGGAGAAAGAAGTGGCAGTCTGCTTCCATCTTCCAAAACGATAGTCGCAGCAACCCTACGGGGGCAGTTCGACTCCGTCCTTGTTGTTGTTGTTAAGTGTCGTCGAATTGGTTCCAACTCATAGTGACCCTATGTAGGGTTTCCGAAGAACAGTTGGTGGATTTGAACTGCCAACCTTGTGGTTCACCATCCAGTGATCTTAAGCACCATGTCAGAAGTCCTGTAAGTTTGCTAAGTCAGAATCAACTAATGTTTTGTTTTCTAATTTTGTCCTGCTCCTTAAAATGCTACCCTTGGATGGACTGCAGGGAAGACAGCCGGGGGGGGCGGGGGGGGCGCGTCCTGGCTCCTCTTTTTCTCTGTCTGCCTTTCATATAAACTTGTGAAGAAAACCACTTCTGATGACGTGATTGACAGATATGCAGAAGGCTAGAAAACAGAAGCTAAAACATGATCAGCTCGTACCGCACAGACCCAAATAGGGCCATAAGCCGTTTCTGTGTTTTAAACTGTTTCAAAATCTTAATCCATTACTGTTTTCCCTCTTAAAGGAAATCATGTTAAAAACAATGACCATCCACTCCAGGTATCAAGCATGTTAGATATGCTGCAAGTGTATAAAACAGCAATATAGTCTTCCGAAGGAGCTCTGGTAGCAGAGTGGTTACAAGTCGGGCTGTCAACCTGAAGGTCAGCAGTTCGAAACTACTAGCGGTCCCATGGGAGAAAGATGAGGCCTTCTGCTCCCGTAAAGATTTACAGCCTCGGAAACCCTATGCAGGGTCACTATGAGTTGGAACCGACTCCATGGTACTTAACAACAAGAAGAAATAGCTGATACTCAAATACAATGCCATTGAGGTACAACAGGGAGGGCTAGGGCCTGAGGCAAACTGGAGAATGGAGTCTGTCCACAGCTCTTGGGGAACCCTGCCAGATGGGAGCCAAGAACCCAATGTTGTCAGATCCTCGGCGTTTACACAAGGCCAGTCTCTTGTGAGAGTTCTTGTTTTCCAAACATTGGTGCCTCGTTTCGATTTTTAAATCATCATTTGGGTCAAGAGGGCACATCTGAATGTCATGCCAGTTGATACTGTTCAACATCTGCTCTGGACAATCTTGGCTTGTCACCTCCCTTCTCAGATCGTCTCTCCAGGATGGTGTCTCTCCTCCCAGATCCCTCGGGGCACACACCTCTTGCCCTAGCTCCCTGGAGTCCAGCCCACGGTCAGGTACACAGCGGCGGCTCAAAACCAGACTTTGGGATGAGGTGTGAAGACCCTGGCACACCTGGTGCCCACACCCTGGCTATGAGCTGGAGGCTCATTCCTCCATTCCCTAGTGTCACGTCACACAGCTCTCCGGGCACTGTGGTCCTACACTGGGCACATGTGGAGGCCAGCAGGCTGCTCGAGGCGAACGCACATGGCTGTGATGGCCACTCATGAGGAGCTGCCCACCTGTGTCCTATGTGGTCTAGTGGTTCTCCCCGTGGGAACCTTGATGGCCATGGGGACATCAGCATCACCCTTGCCTTCACCTCTTTGGACAAAGCAGACGCAGTTCTGTGAACCTCGCCTCTCTGGGCCTGTTTTCCCTCTGGATTCAGTCCAGGTTTTTTGTCACCAGACGCCTGATGGAAGTATGGGCACTAAACCAGTAACATGGCCGTTTGTACAGATACAGCTACTTCTCTGGCTGGGATAGGCCTCGTCACTCTTCCTGACCAGGCTCTCCAGAGCCACGCCCTGACTGGGCATTCCAGAAACCTCACTGCCTTTCCATGGTCCAAACCCACCCTTTTCCCAGAACGGATGGACCCCCACAGTCCCAGTTGCTCCCAGAACCCACTGCAGCACTGGCCTGGTCCTTACCTTCCCTTTGATGCTGAGGCCTCCGGTGTCGTAAACAATGCCTTTGCCCACCCATGCGATGGTCTGGGTGGCCCCTTCTGGGGTGTGGCTGAGGACAGCCAGAGCAGGTGGGTGCAGGGCGGCTTTGCCAACACCATAGATTCCTACAGAAAGAGAGAAACAAGGATCCAGTCAGGCGAGAGCCGGACTGAGCAGAAAGCTCTCTACAGGTTACCCCGTTCCCAGCACTGGACCTCGGATCCCCAGTACTGGTTCAAAGACTGCTCACAGACCCATTCCACCAGCCCTCAGAACCCCCATCACCAGTCTGCAGACCCCCCCAGTGAAGGTTAGTGGACCCCCAGAACCAGCTTGCTAACTGCTCACAGATCCCCCGGCCCAGTGCCAGCCTGGCTCATAGACTGTTCTCCAGTTCCCAGTCCCCTCCGGCCCCCAACCAAGAAGGGCTCTGGATCAATGAACAAATTCTATGCAAAGCCCTATCAGGCAAGAAATCCACTGGGAAAGAAAAGTAGTTTCCAGAAGGAAAAGAACAGGACTGCAGAGTCCAATGACTTCTGAATAACACTGTAAGGCCACCCCGCCCAGGTGTGGCTCCTCCCCTACCCCAAAGTTTGCTCCACATTCCTATCACCCTGCTCTGTCTGCTTTACCTGCCTCATCTTCTCCAGAAAGTACGACCAAAGTCTATGCACAGCTCAAGGTCTTCTACTAACAGAGCTGAGGATGATAGCACCCATCCTGGTGTGGCACTGTGGGTTGGTGCACTAGCTAGACTGCACAGCAAAGCCGGTTTGAATGTAAGATTGGTGGTTCAAGCTCACCAGTTGCTCCTTGGAAACCCTCTATAGAGTCGCTATGGGTCAGAACCGACTTAACGGCACTTAACAACAACAATGACACAAGTCACTAAATGACTGCTGGCAAAACTCCTACTCATCCTGCAAAACCCACCATGAAGGCCCCCGCTCCTTCATAGAAGGGACGCTTTCTCCATTTGGAACTGGTCTATATCTATGGTAGGCAACTCCCAATGGTCACTCCCTCTGAACATTCTTCTGTGGACCCCTCCCCTTGTGTGTGGGCTGGAATTGCACTCCAGCTATAGCTCTTCTAACCAAACGACACAGCAAATGTGACGGGATGTGCCCAGGACTAATATCTTTCTCTGTTCATTGTGCATAGTATTCAAGGTCTTAAAAGCTTGCAAGTGGCCATCCAAGGCACAATAGGGTCTTTATGCCCCTGAAGCAACAGAGGAAGAAGGAAGTCAGGAAAAGGAAGAGGAAGTGGTTTCCATGAAGAACTTGCCATGAGACCAGCAGTAGATGGTGCCTGGACATTTGACCAGATGAAAACACTAAGCGGAAGTGCAAATTCTCATGGAATCCAGACTTTCTGGAGCCTTGGAGGCTGGATGAACTGCTGAAACAATTCCCCTGAGATCATCTTTAAGCCGTAAACCAAAAATATCCCCTGAGGTCTAAACCAAAGAGCACAGTAACTAGTATAGACTGTCTGCCTTGAGCATTGCACCCTTTTCAGAACTGTCTTCATGAGATCAAATGGACAAGAGCAAGCGGAGACGGGACAAGAACTTTAGGGGCAGCGAGGAACGTTCAGACTGGGAAAGCGGAAGAGCTGCGCTTCAAGGGTGTCATCAATGCCACTGACTTGGACACACAGAAATGATTGAATTGGTGCATATTGTCAACAACAATAAAACACATATGTACATGCGTATGTGTATATATATACTGCTGTTGTTGTTCTGACCCATAAAGACCCTATATAGGGTTTCCAAATAGTGGCTGGTGGATTTTAGCTGCTGACCTTATGGCTAGTAATCTAGTGCTTATCTTATAAGACTCTCTCTCTCTCTCTCTCTCTCTCTCTCTATATAT